TGGCAATGCAGAGTTGCGGCACAGCCAAGACGAGCCAGCAATCAGCTCACAGCGAGATTGGATCTTATCTGATCATCTAGCACTTATCTGATCATCTAGCCGCGCCTAATGCTCTCTGGGCATACGAGATACCTGGACGGTGGGAGATGATCCCAAGCCACCGGGTGGGATACACATGGCAAATTTTTCAGACGCTGTAACTGCGCTGACATTCCCTGTCCGGTCTTCGGAGAGTGGGCCGAGGGTATACTTAAGTATGGCAGCGCTGCCTATGTTACGATCGTCGCTCACCTGCATCCCAATTTCATACCCTGCCTTGCCCGGCACTTTTCCGGCATCCTTGTTTTGCCATGTCGAACCTGGCTGCGACTGACGCCGTGCGACCTGTAGAGGGCTTTGGTCGTCCCTCACGAGATATCGACATGGAGAAGAATGGCGACCAGGCTTTCAATGCCCATGAGACTGGCAGCGATGGAGAGACCAAGTCTGTCGAATCGGAAACCTTCCAGAACGGTGTCCAGCGGGTGCGCGCAATCACTGAGATTTGGAGCACGAAGACGTTGATTACGATGCTGGTCTTGTATGTTTCAATACCGCTCAAACCGCGAAACTCAAAGACTGACCTGTCCGTGTAGCATCTACCTTATCGAATTCGTCGCTTTCCTGCAGAATGGCATTGACGCCGCGCTCAACCCCTTCATCACTTCGGCATTCGGTACACACGGTCTCCTGAACGTCGGAAGCGTAATGGCAACTGCGCTCGGTGGCTGCCTTCCTCTCGTCATTGCCAAAGTCATCGATATATTTGGTCGCGTGGAGGGTTTCTTCTTCATGCTGCTCGTCGTCGTCGCCGGTATGGCTATGAAAGCCGCCTGCACCAACGTACAGACCTACATCGCCGGTCACGTCCTTTACTGGGCTGGTCACATTGGTGTTTTGTTCGTTGCCGACATCATGGCCGCGGATTGCACCAGCCTGACGAACCGCATGATCATCTTCACCCTCAACGGAACTCCCCGTATCGCAAGCACTTTCGCCGCACCCGTGATCGCCGATATGTTCTACTACCAGAACAGCTGGCGATGGGCTTTCGGTGCATTCATTATCATCTTTGTCGGTTGCTGCGCTCCCGCGTTGGTGCTCATGATGTTCATGTACCGCAAGGCTAGGAAGGCTGGACTCGTCAAGAACGTAAAGTCGGACCGTAACTTCCTCCAATCGTTGTGGTACTACGCCGTACAGTTCGACAGTAAGCCACACACTCCTCTCAAGATTTATCCGTATAGCTACTAACTTACAACCTAGTCCTCGGCATCGTCCTCATCATGTGCGCGTGGAGTCTCTTTGTTCTGCCTTTCAGTCTCGTCGCCTACGCGCCCCAGGGCTGGAACACCCCGTATATCATCGCCTGCATCGTCCTCGGACTCTGCCTCTTCCCCGTCTTCTACATCTGGGAAGCCAAATTTGCGCCCGTCCAGTTCCTACCTTGGAAGTACCTCAAGAACGGTACCATCATCGGCTCCTGCCTGCTTTACTGCGTCATGTTCCTGTCCGTCTTCTGCTGGAACGGATACTTCTACTCCTACTTGCTTGTCGTACACAGGCAGAGCATTCCCCACGCTGGATATATCCTCAACGCTTTCTCGCTTACCTCGTCGACATTCAGTCCGCTCATCGCATGGTGGATCCACAAATCGGGTAACTTCAAGTGGACGGCCTACACCGGTGTACCGATCGTTCTCCTCGGTACTGCTCTCCTGATCCCCTTCCGAAACCCGTCCACCAACCCCGGTGTTCTCGCCTTCACTCAAGTGCTCGTCGGTCTCGGCACGGCTTTCTTCGCTACCTGCGCCCAGCTCGCTGTCATGGTCCCCGTCACCCATCAAGAGATTGCGGTCGTCAACGCAGTTTGGGGTCTCTTTGGCAGCTTCGGTTCATCCATCGGATATGCCATCGCCGGTGGCATGTGGAACAACATCCTCCCTGGACAGTTACTCATGCGTCTGCCCGAGGAGAGCAAGCCCGAATACAGGGCGATTTTCGGAAACATCACCTTGCAGCAATCGTTCCTCGATGGTACGCCAGAGCGCGATGCCGTTGTCGGAGCCTATGCCGATGTGCAACGCAAGATGGTCATTACTGGTGCGTGCTTTGTACCGCTGTGCTTGGCTAGCATCTACATTTGGAAGAACATCAACGTCAAGAAGCTTGAGGAGGAGAACGGCAAGCAGACCAAGGGTAACGTCTTCTAAGCAATACGTTGTTCACTGCGTGATGTGCTCGGCGCAGTCTACCACAAGGAGCGTATTCTCATTGGCAGGCTCATTGCTCTATATACCCACATTGCCAAGGTGATGTAATATAATACTATCGTTTATACTTTCCACTTCCGTCTTGCAATGTGTTCTTCTTCTTCTTCTTTGTTCAGCACGTGGTTAATAGCATCATTTGTGCAGCTTTAGCTGCACACATAGATCGGCTTAAGGCTCTAAATGTAAGCATGAACGAGCACTGACTAGCCTATCGAACTCGCTCGTATCTGTCCAAAGCATACCAAGATGTTACTATGAAGGTAAGGTCAAGGTGAAGATAGGCGCATGGAAAACAACAAGCAAGGAGCATAGGCAGGACACCTTTTGCTTTGTTATTAAATGTACAGCATGCTAACAAACGAGCGTTGCGCAATGTGTATAACCTCGCTTTCCATATGTGCTGAAGTCGCAGCTCCTTTCGGTACCTACTGACAACGCCAATACCACGGTCGCGGATGATCCCAATCCATGCAATCGAACCGATCGAATTCCTCAGGATCAAAGTCGTAATCAGAAACATCCTTAGCACCAGGCTGGAAATTCGGATCCTGGCCCTCAAGATACGGTCCACGAGCGTTCCACCAATCGCAAGGTATCTCGCACTTGCATACCGGGGGACTGTACGAGTCGTTAGCAAATCAAACACCAATTCTCAGGGTGGGTTACTTACAGTCTTTGCCACGGCGTAGCCTGTATCCGTGCGATTGATCCAGCCTTGGAATCTCTCCGTTTGTCTCGAGTGCTAAGAGCAAAGTTAAACTCCCACATCATTCGTATCCGTCTCTTAACATGTCCAGAAAAGGTGACTCGGGGTATATGTCTGATATCCGCCCACGCCAGTGTGAAGAACCAATGAACGAAGACTCTTTGGCACGAGACTACTTTCGTACCCCTGCTCCCTGCGATATTAAGCCAAGGGTCCAATGACCTCCACGTATTACCAGGACCAATCCGTATAGGCGGGCGGGTGGTGAAGTGGAGATGCAGATGGAAGAGCGTCGGTATCTCGCGCAGTTGGGCGATTGCGGGGGTCATCTCGTTGTCCAATTCGACGAAACCCTGATGGCGTTCGCATTTTAGGCCGAGGAAGCGGAAGTAATCCGACGTGGAGAGGTTGAGCTCGATACGACGCATGGCGTGATAGGGGATGAAAACGTAAGGGAAGGTCGGACATATGGAAGGGTGATGATACCCGTTGAGCAATGCTGTCGTTCGCTCCCATGTGGCCTTTTTGACCTCACCACAGATTTGCTGACAGGTGAGAGCAAGTGCGTTGGGATGAACTTGATATTCGCTCTCATCAACACTCACTTTCCCAAAGCGATGTATGTCTATGCAGCGGCGCTTGGGGCGCGACAATCTGACATGCTGATTTCCTTCGGAGTCACCCTTGCTCAGCGATAAACATATGTAGGGGCCGATGACTTGATCGTATACGAGGTATCGGAGTTCTTCTGGAAGGTCGAGGAACTGGAATGCTTGGCCGTTGGACCTCCACCAGTCGGCCATTGTAAGAGGAGCGGGGTTGAGTGACTCAAGATCTTCGGCCATCCAAGTGAGAAACGGTATCCAACGGGGGTGTACATCAATCTCCAGAGCGATTTCATGAGTGAGTCTTGGAGGCTCTGCGGACTCTGACTCGTGGCGGTCGGCTTGTTTCCTGGAAGGGCCCCCCAGAGGGTGGTCTGTAAGGTCATGCTTGCTATATGAGGATATGTCCTGCTCTAATAGGTTCAAACATACGTTAACATTGGCCGTCTTTTTCCAGAATTCGAAGTCGGTGCGGTGTCGATGACAGATGCACGCTGCCACTGCGTGCTTTAGAGACTCTTTCTTTGAATCGTCAGGTTCATCTTCCAGATGAGAGGCAATTCCATAGCATCGAGTCAACCATTCTTGCAACGTGAGCCACTCGTCTTCTTGATTGATCTGCGGGTGTGGTGTTTGCTCCGCGAGCAGTGTAGACTTCAAAGACTGTCTCCGTACACCGAGGAGTATATCCTCTGCCCCAGGTTGGATGAGTCGTATGGGAGTCGATGATGACGTGGAAGCTGTTGAGCGCTCGACTCGCAGTCCTATCGAGTTCAACCTGAACCTCAGACTCTTTTGTTGCTGGTCCTTGATGTACGTCTCAATCTCGGTAATAGTGTCGGTCTAGACTCGCTGTCAGCATAGCCACTTTTACGCATGATCCTCAAGCTAGCGTACGATCAGAGTGCGCAAAGTTCTTCGTTCCTTCATCGCAGCGATCTGCGTGGGTCTGGACTTGGGCGGAGGTTTAGGAGCCATTGCGGCTTTGCTCGGTGGATTGTACGGGTATTGGTGTACTTGTCGAGAAGCTGGTACCGAAAGTAAAGCAGGTGGGGGCCGTGCTCCGCAAATGAGTGTACCAATGGGTGTCAGTAAATTGTTAGTTTTGCATATCCGACGAAATAAAGACAGACATGGGGCCAGTGCGACCGTGCACGGGGTACCGAGGGAGATGAAAGCTCGTAATTAAATGTTGTTGCGGCGCGGTTGAAAACGAATACGCCAGTATTTCATTGTGCGGTTGTTTGGGTATCGAAAACGTGGTAGCGCAAACGAGGCGGGACTGAGTGCCCAAACCTCAGTGTCGTCCAGTTTGCTGCTTGTTGGTTGATAGCAAGCGGCCTCGAGATTCCTGAGGAAATACCATTAATTTCCTCTTCAGTCTTCAGGCTCGGTCTCGCTATCAGGCGCAGGAGAAAGCGACGAGCCCGAGCCAAAAGAGAGCAGTGCGGATTCCTTCACTCTTGTCGACTGCGGAGTTTTACCATGAGCCATCTCCAATACCTCAAGCAATCCCAACAGCCTGTCCGAGCTTTCCTGTAGCAGTTTCTTCGCTTGCTCTTCTTCCTCAGCGTTGCCTCTCTTGCCTTTACCCGTACCATATACACTACGTCGCGCTTGGATACCAGCCTCCATAGCCTTGCGAAGAGCTGGATTAGGGGCAAGAGCATTGTTCTTCATCATGTGCATGAACAACTGTTCCAGTATGAGTGAGATCTTGGTGTTTGCTGCAAAGCTTTGCGTTGTTCCTTTCAGTGGAAGAAGAGTCTTTTCGAAATCCTGTTGAATAGGGTCTCGGAGAAAGAAGCTTGGTGGCTTGCTGGCTATCATACCATGTAGAAGGTTCGCGGTGAAGGCGACTCGAATGTCGTCGGGTAGCTTCATCGTAGACAAAAGCACCTGAAAGGTCATGGTCGGGACCTGACTGAACTCTTCCAAGATGTTGTCGCAGAGGTCATATATCCGGGTGAAGAGTTCCGGTAGCTCTACGGCCACTTCGGCGAGCTGCTTGTTGTTAGTTGTCGTCGACTCCGACCAAAAAGGTACCTACGAGTGCTATGAGACGCTGCCGCAGCTCGATCGCGTCCTGTCCGCCAAGGCGCTCTATGGCGTCGTGTACGTTCTTAATCCCTTTATCGCTGGTCTCCGAAGACGTGTCGTCGCCACTCTCATCCCCGCCGTCGTCCGATGCGTCCTGCATATCTTCGTCGCTACCATAATCCGCCAGCTCCCCAGTCTCGAAGTCAACCTCGCCCACTGGCTGGTCTTCATTTCTTTTACGTCTCGGCTCTGCTGTCTCCCTCTCCCAGACTTCCGGGTAGTCTTTGAGCGAGTCGGGTGTCGCCGTTGCGAGTACAGCTCTGATGATCCGGCGCCTCTTTGCGCGATTCATTGCTGTCTCGTCGCCGGTTATGTAGTGCCAGAGGAGACTCTGCTGGAGGGTTGTCTCTGCGCTCGCTTCCTCTTGGTTGCTTTGCTTGACGCAGACATCCCAATCGGCTTCGAGGAAGTCGAGCATGACCCTCAGCCACAGTTTCCATCGATTCCACCGTTTCTTGTGCTTTATCGCGCAATTGAACGCCCACCCTACAGCATGCCAGAAGTCGTCTGCACGATACCACAAGCTCTTCTCGTTGGCAGCCTCGCCAGCTATCCGCTTGATGTCGCTGCTCAGCTGGGGTGATAGACTTGCACTAGCCCTGTAGCTGGGCGCGCTCCTCCTGCTGCGTTCTCTTGGGAACATGAAGGCTTTCCTTATCGTTGGGTATGCGGGGTCGTCTATCGTCGTGTGCACGCATTGCAGGTATCGCAGCGCGGCATCGGAGCCTCTGGCGGCGTCTCGCGATTGCGCTTTGGTGGTGAATCTCGGGTCGGCGACCATGGAAGAGGCAAATGCAATGTATGCGGGCGGTGCGAGAAAGCCTATGTATGGTTGCGCGGGTCTCGATATGCTTGTGCCCGCGGCGAGGAGGCTATAGAGGAAGTCATAGCCGCTGGCATCTAGAGTCAGTGTAAGCTTGATAATTCGCAACAGATGGTGTCGCATACATTGACCGCCCTCGAGGTAGGCTTTGGCATGGTTGGTGAGCTCGTAAGACGCTTGCTTGGTAGGCCGGCGTTGCTTGTGCCGTGGTCGTGCGCTCACAGCTTCGAGTGCAGCGGATCGCGCATGTCCATTGGTATGCGCGGCAGGGTTCAGCGTCTTGGAGCCAGAAACTGGCGTTGCGAGTTTCGCCATGAACGCGACAGGATGTGCTGAGGTGCTAGTGTGGGGGAGTCGCTGCAAGGTCAGACGCGCCCGCGTCGAAGCGCGCTTTCACGTGGCAGGCGATAACATCACTACATGGCCTCAGCGCCCGTCTTACAATGGATGTGAACATGCAAAGAAGGTTTTGCAGGTTACTCACACATCATACGCAGTGTAGCATCTTGAATTTTGAGCTGCGGGCAAAAAGAATGTTTTGGCAAAAAAGAACGTATATGTTTCCGGTACCGAATCACCTGGGCAGCTGGCATTAGCGTCCATCTCAAGCTGCGAAAGACGTAGAATCAAGCTTCACAACACATCTCAACATGTAACCAGAATACTACAATGGAAGGGAACACTGCCAGCGTTAATCTATGAGGTCGGCAAAAAGACAAAGGCAAAAAGATTGGCAAAAAGATTATTTTCTTCCGGTACCGGGAATCGAACCCGGCTCTCGTCGGACACTAACACGATTGACTCATGAAAGCGACGGATGCTAGCCGATACACCATACCGGACTTTGATGGAATGTTGGACAAGACAATCGTTTATATTGTAGCAGCAAACCCGCACAGCGATCACAAGGCACCAACGCCAACGGGGCGACGTGCCCACTCACAGACAGGTCCAGGGCATGCGCTAGATGTACTAGCAAGCTCAGGGTCTAGTGTCCTAGAGATAGGTCTACAGACACTGTCGCAGGCTGCCATACAGCCAGTCATCATGCAGCAAGAGACATTAGAATCAAACAGTCCTTCAAGTGGAGTTCCGACAATGGCACATAACACGAGCAATATATTGCGCAGCCTTCTTTCAGCCGACTTGAAACGAAGATCATAGAAGTGGCGTTCGCCGGAGGCTCGGTGCTTGCAGGTTTCGTCGGAGGGCTCGGCAAACTTCAGCGTTCCGCCCGCATTTGAGAATCATCACCACTTGCCCTCGACCCAGGACAACACACCTTTTTACCATTGATCAACATCTTTCGTATCGCATTGCATGTTCAAAGGTGGAGGTGTATATTGGATTAGGGAACATGCACTTGCCTTACGTCCTTCATTACACTTGCTCTATTTAGTTCGTAAGAAGTTGTGCGAGCAGTGCCTCTAAGGTGGTGCCGCCATGACTTACTTCGAAGAAAGCGCATTAGCCAATCTTACGAGGCCGGACGCGATACTCTTACGAGTTTCGCGACTTAGCGTGTCGTTCGAAGCGACTGCGGAAGGATCATGAGAGAGCAGGTGGGCTGTCCAACAAGAATGGGACGCGCGCCTGCTGGATTCTGAGCCCGCCCAAGTGAGGGAAGCCGCGTCCTGCTCCAACAGGATACGCCCCCAACGCGCCTGCTTGCTAGAGAGATGGCGTCACATCAACAGCATAACGGTGAGTGCGGTCGTGCTCAAGCTTCGTCCTTCGCATCTTCGTCCTACAGTCCACGGATAAGTCTCGATTCGATCGCCGAGGTATGTCGACCGCCAGCGACCAAAAGAGACAGGCCACACTGTCTTTCAGTGGACGAGATGTACGGCTGGCAGAAGATCCACAGCCGAAAAGGTGAGATGCGCTTTCCTATGATCGTTACCGATGACCGCTAACTATCAGTAGGAAGCGAGCACCAAAAGCCAAGGACACGAGGCCAACAAAGCAAGCAGCCTTTGCCTGGGGTCGATCATCACAGACTCTGCCACTTGAGGATGCAGGCGTCGACGGCAAGCGGGCAGCCGCCAGTGACAACACAATGGCCAACGAGGCAGGAGCCATCATCGACGTCGCGAGCACGACCCAGCATTTAGACGTATGGGTAGACGAGGATGACCGAGTCATGTTGGTGCAAGACGTCACCCGGGCAGATAACGTAAAGGACACCTGGGCTGGTGGAGAGCATGGCGCTATCTTGCTCGATGACGGCGATTATCTCGACACGAACGACATGACTCCAGATGAAATAGCTGCATGGGCGACGCACATGGATTCTGAGAGTACGGCATCCATCAACGCTCCTTCGGAGGCCAGGCTCGCTGCAGTGCGGGCAGAAGTGCCGCAAGCTCTAGCCATGATGACCTGCGGGGCGCGGGAGTTCCTAGAAAAGACTGAGTATGACCTGGAGTACGGACAGGATACCTTCAACATGCCCGAGTTATTCCAATCATTCAAGAAGGAAGAGGCGAGGCGAAGCGGCATGGTAGAATCCCATATCGTCTCACCGTCAGGATATGCGACGTCCCTGTTGCATCTGCAGCTGCACTACCCAACGTTCACGACAAAGAATCTCAACGACGGTCAGACGCTAGACGCGACCAACTGTTGCATCCGAATCCTCATCGAGAGGGGCTTCGTGGCGAGCAATACCTATTGGTTTGAAGCGTACTTCCGCCGTCTGAGCGCGGCGTCCGTACGTCACCTCGCGAATGTTGCCGACGGGTGGAAAGAGGAGGTGAAACAACTGCATGACGAATTTGCCTACAGATGTCAGTCGCTGTCGAAGAAGGTCCTACTAGTATTTCGCGCCTTTAACAGAAAGCGCTTCCATGAGCGACACAACGTGGAGAATATCACAGTTCGACTATCATGCGGCAGCACGACGCTCATGGGCATAGTGCGCAACAACGCCCAAAAGATTCTGTTCGTCGTCGTGTACGCCTGGCATCCGGAATATCTACTAAGGAACCGAACCACGGCAGTCGGTCGACAGTACGACGCAGCTTTGAACATTGCTGCGGCATTGAGCGGCGTAGACACCAAAGCAGGGTACTTCGAAGCCCGAGCAGCGAGAACGCATGAGAAGAGCGGAAGAAGCCCAACCCAGAGCAAGTCGACAATCTCTCAGCCCCCTCCATCCCTAGCTCTCGTGACCGCCACAGAAAGAGAGAGGAAGAACAGAGCCAACGAAGCCGAGGCGCTCAAAAACGAGCCCACTCAAAAGACACTGCGATATCGGAGAACTGTGGATCACACCAAAGACGTGCCCCTTCACACCTACGGACTGAACGGCCTGGCAATTATTTTGACTGCAAAATTAGATGACGCCTTTCCGCAAGGCGGATACAAACAGTTGTATTCTGTTTTCTGCGCTCTAAAACAATTGCCAGCTGTATACAACGGGTTATTGCGAGTGTACCGAACGATGCCAGGAACGTGGAGTACCTCCCGGGTACCGTTTTGGTACCCCGGCATTACAGTGTTGAACCCTTGTCGACGGCACCTCGAGGAGAAATATGATGCTAGTATATACATACTTAGCTACCGATCATCTCAGACATTGGCCTATACACCTCACATGAGTCTCAAGTTCACCTTAGGACAATGTCTTGTTCATAACGAGAGACACATGTCTAACCCTAGACAACATAGCGGACAGAGCATGTATCTTCATCTCTATAAGAGGGCAATCAGAATGTCAAGATTGAAGCAAGCATCAGCCAAACCGCCCAGTACCCAAGACAAAAGAAACCTCACCATAAAGTCCCAGCATCCCAATACCCGCAGCAATGTCTCAACCAATCACACTCCCTATTAGATCACAGCCTAACCGAGCACCTGCGCCGATGTCTCAACCAACCGCACTGCCTATAAGACCAAAAACCACATCAAAAGCCCTCCCACCATTAACACTCTCCACCCTCCGCCAACACTTCCCTTCCCTCCCACCATGGGCCGTCTCCGCCTTCTCCGAGATCTACAACGCAGTCCACATCTTCAAGAACCCCCAACTCGCCGCAATAATCCCGCAACGCCAACTCTCACCCGAAGCCCGTGCGTTGCTCAACATCGCCATCCTGCCTATGCCGGGATATAAATACGGCCACGACAAAGGGCCGATGCTGGATTGCAGTGTGAGTATACGAGATTTGTTTGAGGACGAGAAGAGTTTTGAGGGAGGAAAAGAGCAAGTGGTGTTGGTGAGGCTGGGAAGGGAGTGTGAGAAGTTGTGGGCGGGGTGGTGGGATGAGGGTGCTATAGAGGGATGGACGGGGGATGTTGTACTGAATCGGTAGTTTTGGATGATATATCGGCTAGCATCTGTCGCTTTCATGATTGATGCAGTCTCGTTTATTCGCCATGGTCGTGCGGTAGATGGTGATGCAATAGATGATATGCACATGTATTGCTTGCCGCTGCTTCACTGTCGAGTGCACGTTGTTTCGAGGTTGCGCGGAAGCTGCTTGCGGTTCCGTCAACGTCGCCTTAAACGATAGTCATTAATAGAGGTGAGCGTCGGAGTTCTGCCCTAAAGATCTCGAGATCAAGCTTCCTTATCAGATCCGCGTGCATGCGCATAGTCATGTAGCGAGCACAGTGTTGGCAACTACCCCTCATGCATCCCTGTCGCTTCCCGAAGTCATCCCTCTTCCGGACAAGCCTGGGCGCAATGACTCCACGTCCACGAACACTTGGTGCTGTGCTCTTCAGGTAGTAAATAACTCATCGTGAGATAATCTGAGGCCACAGCCAAGTCAGTCCCCAAGATACAACTGCCGCAATGGCCACGTCACAGCAAAGCCTAGACCACCTAATCCTCTTCGTCCCCGCCAACCCAACAACGCAACTGCCCGAAGTCCCTCCATTCTTCTCGGACAACTTCACACTCACCCCAGGAGGATTCCACGCTGACGGCGCGACATCGAATGTCTTGATTCTTCTCGCAGATGGGTGCTACATCGAGCTCATCTCTTTCGTCAACCCTTCGCTCGCGCCTGAGCATTGGTGGGGCCCGGACGCCGACTTCGTAGGCTGGAAAGACTGGTGCCTGACCAACTCGCTTTCGCCCGAGATGAACTACGAGGCGGTGATAGAAAGTCACTCAAAACCGATCAAGGGTGGGAGAAAGAGGGCTGATGGAGTCGATGTAGCTTGGGCTGTCACCTTCCCCAAGGGAGAGAAAGGTGGACAGAGTGTTAGGGGCAGGGTGCCATTCTTCTGTCACGATATTACTCCTCGGGGTGTCCGCGTTCCAATCGACGATATGAAGACGACTCATCCATGTGGCGCAGTTGGGGTCAGCCGACTTACTATCATCGTGGGCGACCAGGCCCTGCTATATGAGACTAGAAAAACCTACGACGCCGTCATCGGTAGTGCTGGTGAGAAGGTTGATGGAGGATTTGAATTCAAGCTCAGGCGCGTGCATGAAGTGGAGACTCGTGACACCGGTGCGAAGATTATACTGCGCTTGCCAAAGAACGAGGACGAGCAGGGACGCGTTAAAGAAAGGGGATTCTGGTATGGCGACGTAGTCCTAATAACAGACGCGAAGGCCAGAAAGTTTGAAGGCTCCGCGGAGAGGCTGGATAGTGGAGAAAGAGGTGGCGGGGTTGGCGGGGTGTGGCTCGAGCATGCCTGAGCGGACAGCGGTGGATATAAGAGTGGAAATCAAGGGATCAGTGGGACCGAGATTGAGGCTGAACTATAATCAGTCGTGTTTCGTATTTCTTGCTTGCGAAAGTACATGTGCCGGATGGCCTTCGGAACACGACCCTTGGTCTGGGTGGCGAACTGTGCTATAGCAAGGGATGCACCTGCAGGCGGCCGGCGAAATGAAACCATGCTTGCACACACCCGTGGTACTACTGTGCTGCGTTGGCACAAAGCGCAGATCGAAGTGGTTATATCGCGCAGAAGCGCCATGGGCTTGTTCCTAGCCATGCAAGACTATATTCGCATTCGCAGTCGGGAGGATATATGGATGTGTAAAGCTAAAGGTTGCATGTGCCTTAGCGGCGCTAGGCCGCAACCGGGCAACCGAGGGACAACCCAAATCTGTCAGCTGCACTGATTGGCGGGTGTTGTCCGGTGGTTTGAGATGACTAGATCCACAAAAGATCGGGTTTTATCCTTAGGTAGAAGATGGTGATGCGCGTGTTTGTTCAAGACATGGCTTACTAACAAGGTGCAGTCTAGGAGATACACCATATGCCGTCCGGTCACGATAAGGTTATACAGCATAGTGCATGACTCGGGTTATTTGTGCGATGGCACTGCAGAGGTACATAGAAGGACGACGAGGACGACAGGACGGCGATCTGGAGGCGTTGATACGGCAAAAGAAAACACGCCAGCGCCCCAATCTTGGGTTCCTCGCTTAGAAGCAGCGAGATGTCTAGAGCGAGAGCAGTAATTCTTCTCGGCGGAACTCGAATCGAAATTTTGAGGATGGCGGGGCTAGCTCGGACCACTGATAGCGGGCACGTGTCCCAAGGTTTGCTTTTGTGCTAAGGTGACAAAGTGAAGTGCCGGCAGGATCGCATTCGAGGCAAATTCCATGTCGACCTGTCTGGTCGCGCATGGGAAATTGCTGTGATGCAGTGTGCGAGTGGCCAGCGACGGCGGGATGCCGCTGAACGGCGGAGGGGACGACCGGCAGAGGGGCCCGAGGGCTAGCGCCTGCGGATCTGGACCGACGTCTGCCCAGCTGGAGTCAACGTCGACGCCGTCTACTTCTCTGCCCGCGCCCGTGGTCGAGGAAGTCACTATATGGGGCGCGGCGGAACCTTCGTCTCGACACTCGCCCCGTGGCGCGCCCCTGCAATGGCGGCGCACGCAGCAGAACCAGGGCAAATGCGCGGGCACGATGAGTATTGGCCATGCGGACTTGTGCACCGAAGCCAATCACTACGAGGTCGCTCCCGCCAAGGCGCAGCGTTCATCCCCAATCTTTGATTCCCATGACGCAGGCGGTTATTTTCATAAACACGATGCGAGATGCGCTGAGATGACTCTTGTTCCCTTACCACGCAGCGTGAGTTTTCGCGAGCGGCCCGATGCAAGACGACAGGCGACCTGGACCCCCTCCGGCTGGTCACCCCTCGGCCAGTCCCTACGGGTCGCAGTTCAAGGTCGCCATTCCACGCTTACCACCCCGACGCGCCCCGCCACCCACCACGCCCAAGTCGCGCCAGAGGGACAGAGTCCAGCGGGCATGTCGCAACTGTCACAAGCGGAGTGCGTTGCCATTGTCTTTTCCAACATCATTCACTTTCTCTCGACCTCTAACACACGCTAGAGATCAAGTGTAGCGGCGGCCTCCCCCGCTGCAACTACTGCGACAAGACCGACAAGACATGTGTATACGAGCGCCCCAGGAAAGACCGGCTGGCGACGTCAGTTGAACGACCTGATTCCAAGTTCTGAAATTGACTCCGCCAGTGCCAAAGACCGCAACCATGCCCTCGTCTCCGTCCTCAAAGACCTCAGCTTGCGCGTCAGCGACGATGACCGACGTCGAATTGAAGATGCCCTCCAGGATGTGAGTACAGGACCTGCCAGCCGGATGCCACTGCTCAAACTAATACCGCCAAGTCAGATGACGAGGTCGGGTCGCCCGTCTCCATATCCTCTTCTTCGCGAGCATCCGCCCCTCATCCATTCTCTCAGCACTCGCGCATGCACCCCTTTGCCCCGTCCTCTAGCTATGTGCCGCTCGGAGCAGAAACCTCGCCTACGTCGGATCAGTCACCCCTTCCTCGCCTGGACGGTACTGTCCCGGAAGACTCTGGCGACGAAGACGGTGGCGAAGTGCCCAATGTAGTCGAAGCAGGCTTCTTGGGCCAGATCTCCGAAGTACAGTGGCTACAGACGCTCAGGAGCAGAGTACAAGCTCTCGATACCGTTCTGCTTGGCCCACCTGACACCACTGCGCCACTCTCTCAGCCACCCTCGCCTACTTTCACTGCGTCACCCACCTCCCATGCCGCGACCCCGCTCGAACACATCGCTCTCACCAACTACTATCTCGATGACGAAGGCGTCAAACTCACTGACTGTGGGAATCCCTTTGAGCTGCCGCCAGAACACACTGCAGTACTGCTATTCCAGTGCTTCACCCAGACCATCCAAGGCTCCTTTCCCATCCTCCCCCCAACTATAGAGCACCAGCTGCAACAGTACTACACCTTGGTTCGGAACGGGCAGGCGATACATTGCCCGGAGAAATGGTTTGCGCTGGTCAACCTTGTTTTTGCAATAGGCGCCAAGTTTTCACATCTCATCCAGGCTGAATGGCGAGCCGACGAGCTGGATCACATCGTCTACTTATCGCGTGCCTTTCAATTGCTTAGCATGAATGACACAATCGTTGTCCTAACGACTCCGGATCTGCTCACAACGCAGGCAAGTCTGAGCTGCTGATCTTATTTGACTATGCTAAACGTTTCAGGCTGCTGGACTCTTTGCGATTTACTACATGACTGCTGGCCATGTAAATCGGTACGTATGCGGAAGATCTTTGCTCGTGACTACCTAGTTCATCTTCTCTTCGTCTCTTGCTTCAATCGATGTGCTTGCATGCTAATACTGTATCAGGGCTTGGGTAATGGTAGGCATGGCGATGCGATCGGCCTTCTCACTCGGCCTTCACGTGCAACAAGATGATCAATCTGTCTCCGCCGCCCGAAGACAGAGTATGGTCTGCACCTGGTGGAGTCTACATGCACTGGAGAGCATGCTGAGTTCGATTACGGGCCGGCCGAGCATTATACCCAACGAAGACATCACAACTCCGCTGCCCAGTGCCGTGAATAGCGATCAGACCCAAAGCGTACCTGTGTCCAATCTCGACTTTCTCGATGCGGATATCCACCTGAACCTCCTGACCCAGCAAATCATCTCCAATCTCTACACACAACGTAGATCTGCGCCATCATGGGACTACGTCCAGCAAATGACCATATCTCTATGCGAACACCTTGACAAGTGGGCATTTGAATACATTCCCCAAGTTCATTCCGAAGAACGGAACCCAGCTCGCATGCAACAACGCGACATCTTCTTGCTTAAACTTCAGTACTACCGACTGAAGGTTCTGACGACTCGTCCCTCACTCCGCCGTATTGAACGCTGTTTCCAAGCCGGAACTGATGACTTCAATTCGCTCGATCAGTCTGTGGCAGAGTCGTGCGTACAAGCGGCACGGGATGTCGCATCGCTGTTGGCAAACGAGCCTAATGTCAGGAGTCTGTATGAAAAAGGGCCCTGGTGGACAATTGTTCACAACAGTATGTTGACACCTCAAATCCCCATGTCACCTACTGACCAATTCATTACAGTCATGCAATCACTCGCCGTTCTCATGATAGCCATATCCTGCCCCGATCACTTCCGCGACACACACCAAGCGTCTGTGCACAGCACACGGCAACTCGTCACCTCACTCCGCAGCATGTGCGACACAAACATGTTAGCGTCCCGCGCCTACCAGGTCGTATATTCGATAGTCAAGACGTCAAAACCGTACGTCTGGGCCGATATCGCGGACGCCTTCCCAGACGAGGTCATCATGGTGCTACAACAACCAGCACCAGCAAAGGTCGACCCGCAATATCTACCATGGCCGGACAACGACCAGCCAGCTGAAGCCTTGTTCCGTTATGAAATGGACAACTTCGGCAACTACCACTTTCACATGTTATGAGGACGGGAGACTACCTTTCGCGGCAAAACTACTGCAGCACCGACTGCACACAGAATGATGCGATTGGTGGTGGACCCAGGAGACTACATATCTGGCCCTTGCAGCATCGGTATCCAATTCGACGCTAGCGGCCGCTTTATCACAACCCACTCTCCAAAGGATCCTCACGTCGTCATCAACGGGGCCAAAAGTCGAAAATAGGATAAGTTCGCGTTCTGGAACACCGCCGGCTAAAAACGGGACAACTAGAGGACCAAACGGCCACATTGTATGACTGCCGAATGGGGCCCAACACTCGTCGCTACCGCAACATGACTTATGCGTGTTATACCCAAATACTATCTTGAACAGCGATGCAAGATGGAGGAAAGATGTTGTATCATAGCATCAGCATTCGCTTGCGCGTGTCACATTATCGACTCGCGTCGTAACGACGACTTTGCAGGACTAGGAAGAGGTGAACTACCCAAGTACATAGTATGTTGTTCACGGAACAGTAATAGCAGGATAGTAATAAAAAGCAGTATTGGTTCATGACCAATGCATCTCCTTTGATGCAACAGCGACGAATTCATGGAGGCATACCGACAGTGTCCACGTGACAGTTGTTTGATGCGGTAGGGACGTACTAGCAGGAGACTACCTAGGCAAAGCCGCAAGTCTAGCCCCATTGCATTACTTCAGTCCTGCTAAGATCCAACAGGGCAGATCCAGCACAGAACCTCAAGACAGTCTGACAGGTCTCAAGCCAGCTCCTCCCGCAGCATCTCCCATCTTCTCTGTATCAATCTCTCCAATGACGCTCTTCAGCAACTCGGGCACAATCTGCGCCGCATCGCCTTGAAAGAACCAGTCCCCATCGTACAGTCCTCCTGCAGGAACGTCGTTGGCGTCCATGTTGATAATGGCAACCCTCGCTCCCTTGCTACGCGCAAGATCCACATATCCGGCGGCAGGATATACCTTCGCACTCGTTCCAATGACCATAATGAGATCAATATCCTCTTCGTCCTCGATAAACGCGTCGACATCTTCCATAACCTTCTTAGGCAGTATTTCGCCAAACCAGACTACACCCGGACGTAGCAGGCCGTTCTTGCATTCAGGGCAATGGGGGAGGTGCTTGTAGTCGAGTTCCGGGATTTCGACATTGATGTCGGAGATGTCTAGTTCGCGGGCGGCAAGGGCAGCGTTTGTGGTTGGGTCGGATTCGTCGGTGGGGATGGCGAGAGCAGGTACGATGGGGTCGGTGTAGTTGTTGCGCTCCGAGTAGTTGCAGAAGAAGTCTGAGCACTTGAGGTCGAAGAGGGAGCCGTGTAGGAGTTTGAGTTGGTCGGCGGGGTGTTGAGCGCGCGGTGATAGGCCTAGGAGTGGCAGTGTTAGCTATGCGACTGCTGGGGTCTAAGGCGGAGACTCACCATCAACGTTCTGGCTCAGCGTGATAAATTGCTCCTTCTTCTTCGCCAATTCGGCTAGGGCGTAGTGAGCAGGGTTGGGCTTGGCTTTGAGTGCCATGTGCCGTCGGTAGCTGTAGAATTGCCACACGAGTCCTGGATCGCGCTCAAAGGCCTGGGGTGTTGCTAGTGAGGTCGCGTCATGCGTCCTCCACATACCCCCAGCACCTCGAAAAGTTGGTAAACCAGAAGACGCTGAGAGTCCCGCACCGAGAAGCGCGAGAATACGCGTCGACTTGCTCAGGTGTTGCTGGAAGCTCTCGAGGTCCTTGGGCGGAACGACGCTGGGTTGGGCGGCCAACGAGGCCATTCTGCGGATGATGTTGGGCAGCGTCACGGTGGAGGCGGTCTTCTTCGCAGACTGGGCGTGCGAAGAGTCGGAAGATAAGAGGCCGGGCGTGTCATGTGTGCGTTGGCTGTCCGACAGGCAGAAACGGGGGCCTGGAGGTGTTTGCGGGGAGGGGGGAAGCTGCGGCGGTAGTGGCACCTGCAAGGTACGTCAGGCTTCCCCACCAGCGGCCTAGCGCCCACCAGGCCGGGAAACCGATGCCTCTTCCGCCGAAGCTTGATTCGCCCGAGCCAACCTCTCCGCCAACGACCATGACTTTTGCCTTAAGATGGCTGCGACCGGCTGCACGCGTGCCATACCGGTGCGATGCTGCGAGACGCGTCGGGCGGGTGCAGCCCAGAGTCGGCGGCACGAGGGCGTATGCGGCCGCTGCTGTGCCCGCCGCTGAACTCCGATTTGGCCAACCGCTCCATGAGACGCATCCACACCTACTCAAGGCTGGGGAAGGTGATGACCGCCCGAGCAACGTCTTACCCTCTACTAACATGCTGCAGTCACCCCCGGTATCACGGCACTCGAGTACCACCAACGCCGCGCCGCCCTCGCCAAAGAACTGCCCCCAAACTCGACCGCCATCCTCGCCGCAAACGACCTGAAATATGCCTCCGGCGCTGTCTTCTACAAGTTCCACCAGGACCCAGACTTCTTGTACTTGACGGGATTCAGAGAGCAGGATGCTGTGGCCATAATAGAGAAACACGGAGATGGAGAGCACACATTCCACCTGTACGTCCGGCCCAAGGACCCCAAGGTGGAAGCCTGGGAGGGCCCACGATCAGGCGTTGAGGCCGCGGAGGACGTCTTCAACGCCGACGTGAGCGGCAGTATTGACGACCTACCGCGTCTGCTTCCCGACATAGTCAACCGCGCGCAAGCCATATACACCGACCTCCCCCAATCCCGCGTATCCAAGAACCTACTATCTCGGTACCTCGCAGGCGCAGAGCCTTCACGTACAGGCGGCATCTTCAACGTCTTCCGCGACGCACCCGCAAGCGTGCGACCCCTCCGCCCTCTCGTCAATGAACTCCGCCTTATCAAATCCGAAGCCGAAATCACAAACATGCGCCGCGCAGGCCAGCACTCGGGCCGCGCCATCACAGACGCAATGCGGCAGTCCTTCACCACAGAAAAGGACCTCGACTCCTTCCTCGACTACTGGTTCAAGCAAGACAACTGCGACGGCCCGGCATACGTCCCCGTCGTAGCCGGTGGCATCAATGCAAACACCATCCACTACGTCTCCAACGACATGCTGCTCAACCCCAAAGAACTCGTCCTCGTCGACGCGGGCGCCCAGTACGGCGGCTACGTCACGGATATAACGCGCACATGGCCTGTATCCGGCAAGTTCAGCACCGCCCAACGCGATCTCTACACCCTCCTGCTCGCAGTACAAAGATCTTGCATCTCGCTCTGCCGCACAGATTCAAACTTCACCCTCGACAAACTACACCATACAGCTTCCAACTCGCTGGCTGCTGGTCTGAAGGATCTAGGCTTCGACATGGATGCCGATGCTATCCAAACGCTTTTCCCACATCACGTGGGCCACTACGTTGGTCTCGATGTGCACGACTCCCCTGGTCTGAGCCGAAGTCGGAGGTTTGAGAAGGGCATGTGTGTTACCGTTGAGCCGGGTATCTATGTCCCCAATGAAGAGCGGTGGCCCAAATGGGCCCGCGGCATAGGTATGAGGATTGAAGATAGCGTTTGTGTTGATGATGAGAGTCCGTATGTCCTCACCACCGAGGCGGTCAAGGAAGTCGTCGATATAGAGGCGTTGAGGGGGACGGAGACGAAGTTGTAAATGGGAATCGTGATATCCGGTTTTGGCTTTTGTGATGAAACGTGCTTGCCATTGCTTGGTAAAAAGTGCTTTGCCATTGCTTGATGAACACTACGAGCAGCGCCGCTTACACAAGTACGAATTCATCTGTACTCCCTTCATCCCAAGTTACTTCCTCGCCGCGCATAGCGCCTTCGAAGTAGCATTGGCCCATCAATCGATAGTAATCATTTGTAAGACGACGAAGCACAAGTGGTACTTTCGAGCCGTGGATGATGCATATCAAGTCGCCCTCACAAACCGAACGATGTGCAAGCCCAATTCTCCAATCGCGTCCCACGATAACCTGTCGGCCCCAAGCTACGCGAGCATGATCGCGGAGTTGAGTCGCCTTTGTCTTCCATGATTTTGTAGGTTTACATGGCTGAGTATCCTGGAGTGCAGCAAGTGCATGCAGGTAGTCGTATGTTTGTAGCAAAACATTCATGTCGGCGGTAGACAGTCCGTCATGGTTGTAGTCTGATGTTGTGCGGTTGAATACGAATGAGCCATCTGCTAAACACGTCTTCAATATGTGCTCTCGAGATGGTACAGTACGTCCTTGTGGCCAGACGTCTCGGAGAACATCTCCCAAGCGCGCGATGTTGAGGTAGAAATGTACGGGCCATTGATGGCGGCTTGTTGCTGGTTCTCTGTCAACCTGGGCGAAGGGTAGTGTATGCGTAACCTCCCTGATTATCTTCCCCCTGACAATCAAGCAGGAAGACGAGATACCATCTCGTTCCTCCGGCCTATGCCGCATCCCGCGCGCGGCGTCGAAGTACATGCAATATTTCGGAAACACAAACGCTTCCGCTTTCAACCGCCGCGACCAGTCTGGGACCCAGGACGGCAGATTCGACAACCACCTAGTTTCGTCGTCGTCCCGCCGGTGTAATACGCCCAAGAGATCCAGACTCTCCGTTGCTTCGACGATGGATCTAGTGACCATAACAGGAACCTCATTCCAATCAATATGGTAATCAGGCAAGATACTTATCTGCGATTCATCTTGCAGCCCCAGAAACGCATAGACAATATCATGCTTATTCGTAGTCCTACACCTCGGCGCAAACAGAGAGAGCGAGTGGTAGAAAGAAGGTTTTTCTTCACCACCACTGCTTTCACCCGCGACGCCCCGCCGTTGGTCTCTCAAGCGCATGATCTCGCTTAGTACTAGGTAGCCTTGTAACTGTCGTAGACCGACGTAATCCGCGGATGAGATGCGGTCTTCTGAGCTCCTGAAGCGCCGGATAACGGCCCAGAGCTCGTCGATGGGAAAGGTGAAGGAAGCGAGGAAGCAGGTGGCTTTGGGTGGTAGCACGGCTTCTTGTACTACCCAGGCTCTGCTGAACCAGGGGAGGGATAGTAAGGAGCGTACGAAGGATTGTTGGCGGGGGAGGGAGAAGATGAGGGGTTTCTGGTCAGGAGGTACATGGTGGCTGCCTGTTGAGGAGAATGAAGACGAGGCGTGGAGCTGGGGTGCTACGAATGCGCTGTTTTCGAAGTAATAAGACATGGATTCGGTGTCTTGCACTTCTTGCCCGAGCCAGATTAGGACGCGTTTGCATTTGCTGTAGATTTCGCCCATGAGAGCGACTTGCTGGTTGCGGTCGGGGATGCTTGTTTGGTCGACACATAACTATGAATGTCACGATAGAGTCAGTACGGCACCTCCTTCCGTTTCGTACATTGTTGCCATACCTGGTCGACCCAAAGGTAGCCTGTCTGGCAATAAGGCCGTATTCGCGTGAGTGTAGTGCGCAATGTAGGCGTGATGAGGACCGACTTTCCCGATCCCAACTCAAAGACGCAAGATTTATCTTGCTCGCCCCATACATAGGAGATCGTCTCGTATGGAGGCGCGGCTTCCAAAGATACCTCAACGACATCAGGCTCTTGAACAGACTGTGAGGCCTCAGGAAGTTTGAGGAGCCTGATATGGCGCTCAGAGAGGGGCTCGTATGTGTGTGTGTTGGACATGGCTAGATGCTGCACTTGAGCTCAGACACAAGCATGTGTAGTGGGTATTGTAGTGTATAGATGGTGGGCTCTTATCCTAGTTGCATTGTCGTTCAAACCCTTTGCTGTAGACCATGTGACGTCGAAACCCCGCAGCTACGCAGTTGATTGATGCTTGAATTCAGGTGTCGCATGGCTTCATAGACATCTATCAAGCCATTCAATGTTGTGATCGTAGCAGTGAACAGTAGGCTGAGTTTGCGTATCCCAGAGGCAGTAGAATCTAAGGCATAGTGCTAGTGAGTGTTGGTACCAGAACCAGGTGGTTGAGTGTAGTTGATGGGATGACAGTTGTTGGATGAGAGCTCCTTCCCTAGGTTTGCAAGGTGACGCTAGCGTTACCCCACTCTTGTCTCGCAATCTCTTGTCTTCCTCACCAACGCAGACTCGATGAACTGCACCGGCATGGTGGTCTTACACAATTGCGAAGAATTTACAAACAATCACTTAGGAGTCAGTTAACGGTGATAGTAGATCAGGCTTTTGAAACTATTATTATTATGTATATCATTACTCATGCACGCTAAGGCCAGGAGATCTATCCCAAACACTCTTAGTAAGTGTAGCAAAACGGCCCTGCTGTTGTGTCCAGAAGCTCTTTGAGTTTCCTGTCACCCGCCAGCTTTCCAATATTGATCGTGTAGTCCAGCGTTACGTTCTGACCGCTGTAGTCGAACGGAACAATCGGCCCACCAACCTGGTTCAGACGAGTCTTCAAATCCAGTTGCTGCCACTCCCAGAAGATGCGATCTAGGTTGGCGTGGTGCAAGTAGAAAAGCGGTTCAGCAGGCGAGTTCGCAGCGTTGCCAGCCTGTCCCAATGCACCACCAACACCGAAATGACCACTTCCGTGGATGTTGGGAGCGCCAGATGTGGTGTCACCCTGCATCAAGCGGTCGAAGGTGGTGTAATCCGGTGCCTCGAGTTGCTTTGTTACGAGTTTGGGGTCTGCCCAAGTGTTCATGAGAGCGGGTATGAAGTCGCGTCGAAGACAGTCCGCTGGGCCGGGGTAATTGACGGTGAACTTGGAGGCTACGAAAGGGCCGGTTTGGACGCAACCACCACCCGTACCGCCCTCCATACCGAACTCGTTTTGTCCAGGGAGGGGCTCAACCTTGTTGCCATTGCCGCCGAAGCCGGTATCGGGAGAGAATATCTCGGAGTCGTAAACGCGGGTAGAGGTAGGGTTGTGAGGCTCTGCATCCAGGGAGTAGTTCCAGTAGGGATGAGCGCCAGTATAACCACACTCTTCACGGAGAGCCTTCTCGTATGTTGCGACAAAGTAACGATGCCATAGGATGAAGTGTCCTACGAAATGGATGTGGTCGGCTTGGTTGACATGAACGGCTTGATGATCGTCAAATCGGTTTAGGGCGCCAGGGATCCCTGACACGGCTTTCTTTGTTGTCAAACATAGAACAGCGTCGATATAGTTCCTTCTCTGTGGGATAGACAGCTGTCTCCTGTGATGTCACCGTGATTAGCGAAATTCTATCGTGTGCCAATGTGGGTCCATCTTACCATTCCTGTCGCTTGATAGGGTTCTTGCACACGGCAGAATTGGTTGTGGGAAGCGCTGCTGCAGTTGACAGTGACGCCAAGCAGAACGATGAAACAAGGAGCTGTAGTTTGACCATGGCGACTAATATGTCTGCCGTAGCGTTCGAGATCGATGACTGAAGACAAGGTGAGTTGTAGCGACCTACTCACCCAGATAACGATGGGTCTCAAGCTTTTATGTAGCTTTCCATCAGTCCACCAGCGCCGCTCAACGTGCATCTAAGCCTCGGTGTGCCCCGAGAAGAACGAGGCACTAACGTACGACGCTGCAAGGCGGCCACAAGGGCAGCAAATTCGGACCTGTACTTGGGTACGAGCTGTTGGATTCTGGTGAGATTGCCGGGTCTAGGAGGCTCTACACATGCATGGTGATTCAGGGTCTATGTGCGCCTATGTGGCACAGCAAATGTTGAGTCCAGAATATGCAAATTAGATACCGATACTCAGGAAGCGACCGTGTACATGACTCGCTAAGCACGGGACCGCTGAATCAAGTCGACTTGTCGAAGGTGAGAGGAAGTAGTCCGAAAGCCCCATGTTTGCAGTTTTGCACCCAGCAGAAGACGTGGTTTTATTCTGATTAGGTAAGCGTTGCAAGAGACGGGACCTGAACTGATATGTTCATGTCGCTGTGTTGTTCGTTGCCGAGTGTGTGTTTGGCTTCAGGCATAACCATCTCCCAGTGCTTGATGTTTGCAGGGACGGGAGCAACTTGGGCGCATGCAGCCGGTGGGCGCAAGGATTGAGAGCGAAAGCATCCTGCAGGATGATATGCAGCATCGGAGCTTTTGCCTACTCCAGGGTTGATGTATTTTCCGGCCATATCCCTCCGAGTGTGCCGTCGTTGGAGACGCGGCAGGAGGGGATACCGATGTTTGTGGCTGCCATACAAGTTCATTGAAAGAATTGGTCCATGTTGTTTTTTGACAGGCTTCAGACGCTGGCTATACAGCGGGTGTAAAAGGCACGATGTCCGACTATCAGATTAACTGAAAATTGCCACCCGGGAATGGCCCGCTCCCGTAGTCGCGCGTCTTCTGAGTGGCCACTTTTCTCGGGTGCGGCTATAGCTTGGGTTTGAGCGCTTCATTGTGGATGGCGGGGGAAGTGATTGATGGGAAATCCGGGAGACACGGCAGCAGACGGGACGAATGCTAGTAGTGTACTGCACGAACAGGTACCGATATGACCTGCGCCGCATTTGCGTCTTTAGATAGTACACCCGTTCTTTCTTGGCGGATCTGGCCTGGTGTATGTTGTTGCGCTATGGACGGGGAAGGGGAAGGATCGAGTTTTGGAGAGATTGATTCGGTTCGCGCAACCGAAAAGCGTGCCAAGGCGTTCGAGCCGGCTTGGCAGATCTTCTCTTCTTTCCCAAGGTCCTACTTTGCAGATTGTAAACAGCGCGCAACATCAACACCACCGGATTTTGTCTAGACGCGTAGCAGCACGATTTGTCGCACACTGAACTACGTTCGGCATGTGGTATGCCTGACCACAGCATTAATTGAGGCGTTCAGGGAGGTACTCACGCCACCTGGGCAACGCCAAGAATGCATACATCCGGAGGATTCGCAAGACAGGCATTTCACGAATCCCCCTTGCACAAGAACTTTCATCTCCAGTGGCGCCTGGTCGAACCTTCCAAGTGGTAATCGGAGATCCACGAAATGAAATTCCCACGTGCTGCTTCGCTCGGTTACAAACACATCAATGCAAGCCACATGTTGATCGCGCGCGATTGGCTACAGCGATTTGCAGGCTTCCGTTCGCCTTCGATCTGATCTGATCCTCCGCCGTGCCATTCTACTGGGAAGACGCTCAATGAACAATGCTGTGTGCGGCGTAGTTGGCCATTATGACTTATACTCACGCACCGGCAATGCTTTCTCCAAGTACAACTTCGGCATACACGTGCACGTAGACCAATACCATGGCAGGCGACGGTGTTTACATCACCAGCGACAATGGCTCGCGTCAGCCAATGATGCTCATCACGACTGGCGTGCTACTCTTCTCCTCTTTGATCGCAGTTTCGCTCAGATTGTACTGCCGAGCTATACTCGTACGCTGCGTTGGGTTGGATGACTACTTCATGCTCGTTGCCCTCATAGTAGCAATTGGCTTGGGTATCATGAACGGTTTTCAAGTCAGCTATGGTACTGGGTAAGTCCTACTTCACTCCATCGTCAAGATAATGGCCAGCTAACACGTTTAGACGGCAATCTAAAGATCTCAACTTCGATCACTTTTTGATACCCACTCTTAAACACTGGTGAGCCAAGCTCACTCTGCCAAATCCCTGGATGGCCTTGCTGATTCTAAATACAACTAGGTACGCATACCAACTGGTCTACCCATGGGCGCTATTCTGCGTGAAAGCCAGCATCTTAGCACTGTACCATCGGATCTTCACACATCATAACTTTCGACGCTGGATATATTATGCGGCAGGCTTTATCATCATACAGACCATCACTGTTACTTTCATCAACGTGCGCTTACGACGAAGTTACTCTTTACCTTCACTTCCACTGACTGCGAAGAACAGGCTTTCGAATGTGGCACCAAGCCCTCCCGAGCCTGGTCGGCCAAGTTCCCAGAAGGCTGCAATGATATGCCAAGGACGTACTTTGCTATGGCATCGGTGAACATCCTTACCGACATAGTTATCTTGATAATGCCGTTCAAAGTCTTCAAACAACTCAACATGCACCCACGAAAGCGCTGTACGTATCCTCCATTCCAGCGTGCAGGGAACCGAAGCTGACAAAAGAGCATAGTCGCGCTTATGGGAATTTTCATGGTGGGAGGCATCGCAGTGATAGCTTCTATCATGCGCCTCTACGCACTTTACGTCTTCGCCGTATCCAAGGACATTCCATATGACGACATCTTTGTAAATCTCCTCTGTCCTTCTCCGATGAGATATTCTAGTCACTGTGAACTGACCCACCCCTTAGATACTCCTCCTCTCCCAGATCGAAGTGAACGTGGCCATGATCTCCG